TATTTGTTCTTTGTTTTGGTAAAGAGCTGCTGTGTTGAAGGATATACCTTAATATATTTATCCAGTTTCCCCTATAAATGGACATTAAGATTGTTTTCAGAGTATTCTTATAAACAATACAGTTTGTCATTTCAGACACATATAAGAATATTAGTAGGATAAATTATTTTAAGTGTGCATTTATAAATTTATGGATATTGCCACAATCCCCTCTGCTAGGAAGTCTATTCCTATTAACAGTATGTCGAAGTGCCTGTTTTTCTAAACTCTCTTCAGTGTGGTGAATTGTTAAACTTCTGGATCTCTGCCAATCTGACAGGTGAAAAATAACATCTCAGTGTAACTTTAATTTGCATTTTCTGAGATTGAGCAACTTTGTGTAATTTAAAAGATCATTTAAATGTATTTTTCTGAGCATTCTTTGTTGATATTCTTTACCCATTTTTATTAGGGTGTCAAGGTTTTCCTGACTCGTTTGTAGATGTTCTTTGTACGTTTGGGAAATGAATCCTTTGTCTATAGTAAACCTGCAAATATTGTTCCCTAGGTGGTCATCTAGATTTTCTGCATTGCAGAAGATACCGTTAGCTATTTTTAATTTTTTTAATTTAAATATTTCTCAGTTTAAGTTTTCTAGGAGTTGGGTCATATTTAGGAAGGTTTTCCTTACTCCAAGATTATAAAAATAATTTTCTTCTGGACTTCTATGGTTTCATGCGCGCACGTGTGTGTGTGTGTACACGCACTTAGGTCTATCTCGAATTTATTCTGATGCAGAGTGTGAGCTATGGATCTGCTTTTCCCCAAATATCTAACTTGTCCCAATACCCCTTAATAATTTATTTTTCCTCATTGATTTGAAATGCCACCCATCTTATATATTGAATTCAGATATTTATTTACCTCTTCATATTTATTTATTTGGGAACATTCATTTTGTTTTCTATTAATCTTTTTCTCTGTCCATGTGCAAAGCCCCACTGTCTCAATAATTGTAACTTTGTAAAGTATTTAATATCTGGTAAAATGAGTCATTCCTTGTTAATTTTATTTTTCAGAATTTTGTTAGCAATTCTTACTATAAACATTAGAATCAACTTGTTTAGCAGGAAAAAAAGTTTGTATTGATCATGTTAAATATGTAGATTAACAGAGAAAATGGCATCTTAAAGATGTTGAGTCTAACTATCCAAGAATGCAATATATTCCATTTTCTGAAGTCTGTGTTTTTTTTTAAATCTTCTGTTTTTGTTATTATAAATGGAGCATTTTCTTCCATTATATCTTCTGACTGGCTGCTGTTGGGGATATGAAGGCTACTGATTTTTGTAGAGACATTTTGTACTGGCCACCTTAAACTCTCTTAGTGTTAAAGTAATTTTCTTCATTAATTATTATGGCTTCAAGTCATCTCATCTGCATATATCCTCCAAATTTGTAGAACTTTCTTTTTCTTCTGTTTAATTGCATTGATGAATACCTCCAGAACAAAGTTAAGCAGTTGGTAAATGCAGACAGCATTCTCTTGTATCTGACACTAAGGAGGACACTTTCAGTGGTTCTTCATTATACATGGTACTGACTCTTGAGTTGAGATAAACATATTTTATTGTGTTCAGGATTTAATGAGCATTTATGTCAGGAATGGATGTTAAATTTTGCCAGTTGCCTGTTCAGGATCAATGAGCAAGATCTGAATGATTTTTTTCTCTTTTGGTCTGTTTCTGTAGTGGATTCTGTTCCTAGGTTTGTTTGTTTGTTTGTTTGTTTGTTTGTTTTGAGATGGAGTCTGTCGCCAGGCTGGAGTGCAGTGGTGCAATCTCAGCTCACTGCAACCTCCACCTCGCGGGTTCAAGTGATTCCCCTGCCTCGGCCTCCCGAGTAGCTGGGACTACAGGCATACACCACCATGCCCGGCTAATTTTTTGTATGTTAGTAGAGACGGGGTTTCACTGTGTTGGCCAACCTGGTCTCGAACTCCTGACCCCGTGATCCACCTGCCGTGGCCTCCCAAAGTGCTGGGATTATAGGCGTGAGCCTCCACACCCGGCCAGTTTTTTTTTTTTTTTTTTTGAGACGGAGTCTCGCTCTGTCACCCAGGCTGAAGTGCAGTGGCCGGATCTCAGCTCACTGCAAGCTCCGCCTCCCGGGTTCACGCCATTCTCCTGCCTCAGCCTCCCGAGTAGCTGGGACTACAGGCGCCTGCCACCTCGCCCGGCTAAGTTTTTGTATTTTTAGTAGAGACGGGGTTTCACCATGTTAGCCAGGATGGTCTCGATCTCCTGACCTCGTGATCCGCCCGTCTCGGCCTCCCAAAGTGCTGGGATTACAGGCTTGAGCCACCGCGCCCGGCCCCGGCCAGTTTTTATTGATTTGTTTTTTAGAGACAGAGTCTTGCTCTGAATTAATTATTTAATCTTCTTAATTTTTCTTTCCTGTTGACCTTTGCTTTGCTTAAAGTCTTTTCCTTTGAGTCATCCAGGCTGGAGTACAGTGGCACGATCATGGCTCACTGTAACCTTGAACTCCCAGACTTAAGCAGACCCCACCTCAGACTTCTGAGTAGCTAAGGACTATAGGCACATGTCACCACGTCCAGCTAATTTTTAAATTTTCTCAGAGACAGGGACTCACTGTGATGCCCAGACTGGTCATGAACTCCTGGCCTCAAACAGTCCTCAGCCTCAGCCTCCCAAAGCACTGGGATTACAGGCGTGAGCCAAGGCTGCCCAACCATATTGTATCATTCCTGTAACAAGCTGTTGCAGTCTGTTTGATATTATTTCTGTTTTCCTTTTCTTTTGTTTAGAATTTTCTCTGTCTAGATATTCACAAATTATCTCCAAATGAGATTGATCTATGTGTTTCCTTTGTGTGTGTATTCTTTTTGATAAGTTTTAATTTTTAGTGTTTTGTTTTGCTACATGGAAAGGATTTAAGTTTACACTAAAAAATACTCTTTTTTTTTTTTTTTTTTTTAAGACAGGGTCTCACTGTTGCCCAGTGCTGGAGTGCAGTGGAATGATCTCGGCTCATTGTGGCCTCCACCTCCTGGGCTCAGGCGATCCTCTCACCTCAGCCTCCCGAGTAGCTGGGATTAATGGCGTGTTCCACTATGCCCAGCTAATTTTTGGTATTTTTTTGTAGAGATGGGGTTTCGCCATGTTGCCCAGGCTGGTCTCGAACTCCTGGACTCACATGATCCTCCTGTCTTAGCCTCTCAAAGTGCTAGGATTACAGGTGTGAGCCACTACATCTGGCCGTTTCATTCATGTTTTCAAATATATTTGAATGAGGAAAAGTTCTCCTTTGTGGTTATTATAATAGCCTACAGAGCTATTAATTTTTAAATTTTGTTTATTTTATGTCTCCTTTTTTTTTGTTTAGGCTGAATAACCATTTATTTCATAGGTTTATTCCTTTTTTTCTTCCGTAGAACTTGCTATTGTGTGCATTTATAGTCCTTTTATTTTTAACTTTTCTATTTCATTCATTTTTACTTTCTACCTTCTTTAGATTTATTTCGTGCTTTTTCTATCTTCTTGAATTGAGTGTGCTTTATTTAATTTCATTCTTTCCTGTTAATTTTGCACAAGCACATCTTTAGCTACATTCCATAGGTATTTCTATAGGTAGTTGTTTTAGGATGTGCTATAAGCTGCTCTGACAAAGATACCAAAATTCAGTGACTTAAATAAGACCCAAGTGTCTGTCTCTCCCTAGTTACATTCCAGAGGTGGGCAGGGCCTTCGTTTCAGTAGAGACCAAATTCCTTTCCTCTTGTGGACCTGCCATCCTAACAGTATTGCCCTTATCTGTTTGGTTAGTGATAGTTCTCACCATTGGGTTCTAGTTGCAACCACTGCGAAGGAAGAACAAAGGGAATAGAGGGCATTTCTTTTCCAAAAGATGTGACCTGGAAGTTACATTGCTTTAGCTCACATCCCGTTGGCTAGAATTCATCACATTACTACATCTAGCACAAAGGAGTCTCAAATATAGTCTCTGGCAGGAGAGCTGGGATTACAGGTGTGAGCCACCACACCCAGCTGTCTGTTTGATTTTTGAGATGGAGTTTCACTCTGTCACCCATTCTGTAGTGCAGTAGTGCAATCTCGGGTCACTGCAACCTCTACCTCCCAGGTTTAAGCAATTCTCATACCTCAGCCTTCCAAAGTGCTGGGATTAAAGACGTGAGCCACTGCCTGATTTTGGTTTTGATTTTTTTTTTTTCTTTGAAATAGAGTCTTGCTCTGTCATCTAGGCTGGAGTGCAGTGGCATGATCTCAGCTCTCTGCAGTCTCCCCCTCCTGGGTTCAAGTGATTCTCGTGCCTCAGCCTCCCAAGTAGCTGGGATTATAGGCACCCGCCACCACGCCCAGCTAATTTGTTTTGTATTTTTAGTAGAGACGGGGCTTCACCATGTTGGCCAGGCTGTTCTCTACCTCCTGACCTCAGGTGATCTACCACATCATTTTGGTTTTGATTTTTATTTTCAAGTGTTTTCTTACTTTGTCATTTCTAATTTTATTGCATTGGGACAAAAGAATATTGTACTGTTTCTACTGTTGGGGTTTATAAGGGCTGTGGATATTTTACTAGCCTTTGAAAAGAAAATTTTCTCTGTTAGTGTGTAGAGTTTGGTATATACCAATTAGATTTTATTACTTATCATTTTGGTCTTTTATATCCTTACTTAATTTTGCCCTCTTGAATTTTAATATAGCTAAAGACATAAAGTCCTCTAATAACATGTGTTCTCTTTGCATTCTCGTACTTTTTATGAATATTGATGCTGCACTATTTGTGTACCCAGGGAGAAGGCCAGACCACTGTCCAAAGTTTAGTGAATCTGGGCAGTCTTGTTTCCCAGTTGTTGGAGGATGCCTCATGGAGGAAAGCATTCCTAATCCTGGAGCTTGTTTTGTTGTACTCTAAATTGAATTGTAATGTGTTTCTTTAACCTGAATGAATGTTTCTATTTTTTACTTACTACACAGGTAATTCTGACTCGAAGGACAGAAGAGGTGAGCTGCTCACCTTGTATCTGTTGTTGCTTTTACACAGTGTACAGTATTCATCTATTTCCTCTGCTCATAGTCTGTGGTAACCATGTGCGTCTGTGGCTGTGTTGTTTGTTTACTTTCCCTTAAGTTATTTCCGTGTTAATCTCTTAGAGAAGAGAAATGGAAACAAGTACTGTATTCTTTTTTAGCATTTCCCCACGCATCCCCCCCCCCCCCCCCCCCCCCCCCCTACTATCAGGTATGTTTTTAATATAATGACTAATAGCTATGGATTCTAACAGCTATGATGTATTTTAACAAGTAACAAAATATATCTTACTTTGTCATGTCACCTTGTTAACATTACTTTTTGGTGATATTAGGTCATAATTTCTATGCGGTGAGTTACTTCTGATTTCTAGGCCACAGTTCCCTTTAAACATTCTTTGTGTTGTTTTTCCCCTAGTCTATAAAATGTCAACCCTTTGTGGCTTTATATGGATTTTAAGGATTTTCAGCCCTTTAATGTAAAGTGTCTATGGCCTGAGATGTTGTATCTGTGGTTTAAGCTGGACTGCTGAGTCCCTGGTCACTAAAAAGTAGCTATTTGTCTGCAGAAGTGTGGCACATTTTGCCTAGAATGACAGTAAGGCTGCTATCAAAGAGCATGAGAGAAAGAGAAAGAGATCATGTAACATTCTAAGAAGTGATTATTACATTTGAGTTTTAAAAATGTTACTGTTTGAAGCAGTATTTTTATCATAATTTTCTGTTTTATCAAATCAGACTTGAGTTTTTGTCTGATTCCATTATTTAACCATACACTATTTTCCCTGTGTAATTAAGTAGTGGAACACTGGAAGGCATATGAAGTCCCACTAAGTAGGGAGCATTTGAGTCAGAAAAGTGGGTACTCTGATCTTTTATGTGATGTCCATCTGCCATTGTATTTGGTAAGGAATAGTGAGGTGTTACCATACTGTGTATAGATTTCCCTCACTTTTCCAGATCTCACTTTCCTAAACTTGGGAACTAAACATTGGATGAATACAGTGTCTTTGCTATTCAGATTCACTTGCCAGATTCTATCAAATGTAGACTTAAATAGGTTTTATTGTGGTAGATATTTATATGCTCCCTAAAACTGCTCTTTTAACCAGCCTTACAATAAAGTCAGAAGTCAAAGTGGTAGACTTCCAGATGAAACATAAGATCCGTTGACTCCTTCCTCTATTTAGTATATATTTTCATAATATTCAGCCTTTTCTTGCCCCAGATATCATACCTATTTTACCTACCTAATATTTAAGTAGTTTCCATGTTGTGATTAAAAAAATAAAATTACCTTAATTACCTAGGTTATTGCTAATTGTGGCATATGTAAAGACTATTAATGTAATAAATCTCCTTTCTTAAGTCAAAAAATAATTTTGTATGATTCCAGTCAGTTGACTGAAAATGCATCGGTATTCTCAGCAGTCTCTGAAGTCCCAAAATCTAATGACAATTTTACCAGAACAGATCTTTAGAAGTATTGCTATAAATTTGGATATCACATTCTAATTTTAAGCCAAATGCTTTTTGATAAATAAGCCAGCTGTTTGGAAATATTTGTGTTATAATGGGTTTGATAAGTGGTTATGTCTTATGCAGATTAATTAGGGGCTACATGTTTCTATGCACTGGTCTTTGGGGTGCTTTTGAACAGTAGGGTCTGATGTTTTAATTGTCAAAACAAAAAGAAATGAGAGGGAGGGCAACTTTTCTTCCTCTTCTGAAGTCCAGAAAACTGGTTATTTTCTCATGCATATTATTTTTAAAATGTATTCCAGCCAGGTGCAGTGGCTCACGCCTGTAATCCCAGCACTTTGGGAGGCCGAGGTGGGTGGGTAGATCACAAGGTCAGGAGTTAAAGACCAGCCTGACCAGTATGGTGAAACTCCGTCTCTACTAAAAATACAAAAATTAGCCGGACATGGTGGCATGCACCTGTAATCCCAGCTACCTGGGAGGCTGAGGCAGGAGAATTGCTTGAACCTGGGAGGCGGAGGTTGCAGTGAGCCAAGATTGCGCCACTGCACTCCAGCCTGGGTGACAGAGCAAGACTCCGTCTCAAAAAAAAAAAAAAATTTCAGCATCTTAATATTTGTAAAGAAGTAGTCCTCGAGCTACTACTTAAGTCTAGAAAGAGTTGACATTCTTGTTTTAAGAGTGTTAGGGCAGTTTGGGAGGCTGAGGCAGGTGGATCGTTTGAGCCCAGGAATTCCAGACCAGCCTGAGCAATATGGGGAAACCTTGTCTCTACTGAAAATACAAAAATTAGCCAGGCATGGTGGTATGTACCTGTAGTCCCAGCCACTTGGGACGCTGAGGTGGGAGGATCACCTGAGCCCAGGAAATGAAGGTTGCAGTGAGCCAAGATTGCATGACTGTACTCTAGCCTGGGCAACAGAGTGAGACTCTGTCTCAAAAGAAAAAAAAAGGGTGGGGATTATCATAGTGCCATTATTATTATGAGTTTATGATGGCTTTCTCTAAGTACCTTTTACATTCAGTGCCTTTTAGGCATCAAGGATTCCAGAAAAAAAATATATTTAAAAAATATATATATATATGCATATGCTTCCCTGTCTCAGGGAGGAAATACGTGAACATCAGGAACCGAAGGCTATTCAGTTACATGCCATTGGATATATCACACAAAGTGCTGAGGGAACTCAGAAGACTCATTATATCTGGGGAGTGGAAGGGAGGCACAGAGATGAGCTTTGGGGAATTTAGATTAAAATAGCAAATGGGGAAAATGAAGACACACCAGACAGGGCACAAGCAAAGAGACATGAAAGAGCAAAGTCATATGTTTGAGCATCTGTGTGCAGTTGACATGTGTGAGGTGTGGGGAGTGGTCGGAGGTGGCCTCAACAGAATGGGTGTGGTGGTCCACTGAGTTCAGGAGTTGGAGCATCTCCTGAAGATGATGGTGAGTAAGGAAGTCACATAGTCAGATGTTGGTTTTAGAAAGATATTCCAGAGGATTTAGGAGAGAGAGATGGACAAGAGAACTTTAGGTTTCTGAATAATTTGGCTCAAAACAACAGTGATTGGGCTCAGCCCAGTTGTTAGATTCTAGAGGCAATCCAATGAATATTGCTGTTTTTAGAGCCAATAGGAAACATTTAAAACATTACAACCTTGCCTTTGAGATCTGATAAAATACTTGTACCAAAAAGTGTGGCAATAGGTAAATGGGCCATAGGAACTGGGGTTATAGGACTATGGCTATTCCTTCACTGACTAGTTCGTAGTTGACCAGCATGTGTCTGAAGTCGTTAAGTCACTTACCTGTTTACTTGTGAGCCCTTCAATTAATATGGCCCTTTGTTTTCTTGGAAAGAAGTTATAGCAAGTAGGTATCTGTTGTCCCGGAACACCATTTTAGTGTTTTTTCATTTTATGCTTGTTCCCTGGCCTGAATCTAGAAAATAAAACTTTGCTAGAATGAAGTTGGGGTTGAAACAATTTCGGTTGGTAACCATACTGTCTCTATCTCATCTACTCAGCTCTGCCTTTGTAATGTAAAAACAGCCATAGGCTGGGCGTGGTGGCTCAAGCCTGTAATCCCAGCACTTTGGGAGGCCGAGTCGGGCGGATCACGAGGTCAGGAAATCGAGACCATCCTGGCTAACATGGTGAAACCCCATCTCTACTAAAAAATACAAAAAACTAGCCGGGCGAGGTGGCGGGTACCTGTAGTCCCAGCTACTCGGGAGGCTGAGGCAGGAGAATGGTGTAAACCCGGGAGGCGGAGCTTGCAGTGAGCTGAGATCCGGGCACTGCACTCCAGCCCGGGCGACAGAGAGAGACTCCGTCTCAAAAAAAAAAAAAAACAGCCATAGATGGTATGTAAATGAATGAACATGGCCATGTTCCAATAGCATTTTATTTACAAAAACAGGCAGCGGGCTAAATTTGGGCTACAGTTTGTCAACCCCTGTTCTAGACAAAGAACTGCCTGAGCGTAGGAAGCTGAACTGAGGTTCTCTACTAGTGTGTGAACTTGCGGATGCCAAAGCCAATCTCTTCCCTTCATGTCAGACACTTTGCAAATGTTACCTGTTTTAAATCTCCCATTTCCTCTAAAAGGTGGAGGGTGCTATTCTACCATTTCATACATCATTCTAAGAGATTATCACACTACTAGTAAGTTAGGGTAGTAGGAATTTGAACTTCAGGTCTGTCGCACCCTAAAACCCCGTGCCCTGGAAATGATTTTCTAAGGCTGGCCTGTGGTTCGTTGGTTGATTTCAACCCAGAACTTAAGAATGTTTTAAGAATACATCTAGATGTAAGGATTTTTTTGTCAGTATTACTCCACAAACTGGATTATTTATTTTGACCTGATAACTCAGGAACTTTCTTGTATTATTTCTCTCCCTTCTTACTGGTTTCTTCTTTGGACTCTCCTGTTGCACAGGTATTGGATCTCCTGGACCTATCCAGCTCCTTTCTTTTCTGTGCTGTCATATTTTTCATCTTTTATTGCTCTGTGTTCTGGGAGCTTCCAGGACAGTTGCTCTTTCATACAACTAATTTGGTTTTCAGTTATATCAGTTCTCCTATTTAGCCTTTCTTTTTTTAGAGGCAGGGCTGGGGCAGACTCGTGCTCTGTTGCCCAGGCTGAACTGCAGTGGCCTATCACAGCTCACTGCAACCTTGACCTCTGGGACTCCAGCAATCCTCCAGCCTCAGCCTCCCAGGTAGCTGGGACTATAGGCATACGCCACCATGCCCAGCTAATCAGATGTTTGTTTGTTTGTTTGTTTGGTAGAGACAGACTCTACCAGAGTCTTGCTAAGTTGCCCAGGCTGGTCTCAAACTTCTGGCCTCAAGCAATCCTCCCACCCTGGCCTCCCAAAGTGTTGGGTTTACAGGCATGAGCCGCCATGCCTGACCTTGTTCAGCCTTTCTATCTAGATTTTTTTCTTCCTAATCATGTTGGCATTTTGTTTGTTTGTTTTTGT